AGCCAGACTAATAAAGAAGAAAAGAGAGAAGAATTAAATAGATGCAATAAAAAATGATAAAGGGGATATCACCACCGATCCCACAGAAATACGAACTACCATCAGATAATACTATAAACACCTCTATACAAATAAACTAGAAAATCTAGAAGAAATGGATAAATTCCTGGACACATAAACCCTCCCAAGACTAAATCAGGAAGAAGTTGAATCTCTGAATAGACCAATAACAGGTTCTAAAATTGAGGCAATAATTAATAGCCTGCCAACAAAAATAAGTTCAGGACCAGATGGATTCATAGCTGAATTTTACCAAAGGTACAAAGAGAAGCTGGTACCATTCCTTCTGAAACTATTCCAATCAATAGTAAAAGAGGGAATCCTCCCTAACTCATTTTATGAGGCCAGCATCATCCTCATACCAAAACCTGGCAGAGACAACAAAAAAACAGAATTTTAGACCAATATCCCGGATGAACATCGATGAAAAAATCCTCAATAAAATACTGGCAAACCGAATCCAGTAGCACATCAAAAAGCTTATCCACCATGATCAAGTCAGCTTCATCCCTGGGATGCAACGGTGGTTCAACACACTATTGAACCAACTCAAATTCATTATTCAAATCAATAAATGTAATCCATCACATAAACAGAACCAACGACAAAAACCACATGATTACCTCAATAGATGCAGAAAAGGCCTTCGACAAAATTTAACAGCCCTTCAAGCTAAAAACTCTCAATAAACTAGGTATTGATGGAACATATCTCAAAATAATAAGAGCTATTTATGACAAACCCACAGCCAATATCATACTGAATGGGCAAAAACTGGAAGCATTCCCTTTGAAATTTGCCACAAGACAAGGATGCCCTCTCTCACCACTCCTATTCAATATAGTATTGGAAGTTCTGGCCAGGGCAATCAGGCAAGAGAAAGAAATAAAGGATATTCAATTAGGAAAAGAGGAAGTCAAATTGTCTCTGTTTGCAGATGACATGGTGGTATATTTAGAAAACCTCAATGTCTTAGCCCAAAATCTCCTTAAGCTGATAAGCAACTTCAGCAAAATCTCAGGATACAAAATCAATGTGCAAAAATCACAAGCATTCCTATACACCAATAACAGACAAACAGAGAGCCAAATAATGAGTGAACTCCCACTCACAATTGCTACAAAGAGAATAAAATACCTAGGAATCCAACTTACAAGGAATGTGAAGGACCTCTTCAAGGAGAACTACAAACCACTGTTAAGGAAATAAAAGAGGACACAAACAAATGGAAGAACATTCCATGCTCATGGATAGGAAGAATCAATATCGTGAAAATGGCCATACTGCCCAAAGAAATTTATAGATTCAATGCTATCCCCATCAAGCTACCACTGAGTTTATTCACAGAATTAGAAAAAACTACTTTAAATTTTATATGGAACCAAAAAAGAGCCTGCATAGCGAAGACAATCCTAAACAAAAAGAACAAAGCTGGAGGCATCATGGTACCTGACTTCAAACTACACTACAAAGCTACAGCAACCAAAACAGCATGGTACTGGTACCAAAACAGATATATAGACCAATGGAACAAAACAGAGGCCTCAGAAATAACACCACACATATACAATCCTCTATCTTTGACAAACCTGACAAAAACAAGCAATGGGGAAAGGAATCCCTATTTAATAAATGGTGCTGGGAAAACTGGCTAGCCATGTGCAGAGAGCTGAAACTGGATCCCTTCCTTACACCTTATACAAAAATTAACTCTCTCAGGATGAATTAAAGACTTAAATGTAAGACCTAAAACCATATAAACCCTAGAAGAAATCCAAGGCAATACCATTCAGGACATAGGCATGGGTAAAGACTTCATGACTAAAACACCAAAAGCAATGGCAAGTAAAGCTAAAATAGACAAATGGGATCTAATTAAACTAAAGTGCTTCTGCACAGCAAAAGAAACTATCAGTGGAGTGTACAGGCAACCTACAGATTGGGAGAAAATGTTTGCAAGCTATCCATCTGACAAAGGGCTAATATCCAGAATCTACAAAGAACTTAAGCAGATTTACAAGAAAAAAACAACCCCATCAAAAAATGGGCAAAGGATATGAACAGACACGTCTCAAAAGAAGACATTTATACAGCCAACAAACTTAGGAAAAAGAGCCCATTATCACTGGTCATTAGAGAAATGCAAATCAAAACCACCATGAGATACCATCTCATGCCAGTTAGAATGGTGATCATTAAAAAGTCAGGAAACAACAGATGCTGGAGAGGATGCAGAGTAATAGGAATGCTTTTACACTGTTGGTGGGAGTGTAAATTAGTTCAACCATTGTGGAAGACAGTGTGGCGATTCCTCAAGGAACTAGAACTAGAAATACCATTTGACCCAGCAATCCCATTACTGGGTATATATCCAAAGGATTATAAATAATTCTACTATAAAGAGACATGCACACATATGTTTATTGCCACACTGTTCACAATAGCAAAGTCTTGGAACCAACTCAAATGCCCATCAATGTAGACTGGATAAAGAAAATGTGGCTCATATACACCATGGAATACTATGCAGCCATAAAAAAGGATGAGTTCACGTCCTTTGCAGGGACACGGATGAAACTGGAAACCATCATTCTCAGCAAAGTATCACAAAAGGAGAAAATCAAACACTGCATGTTCTCACTCATAAGTGGGAGTTGAACAATGAGAACACATGGATACAGGGCGGGGAACATCACACACCAGGGCCTGTCGGTGGGTGGGGGGCTGGAGGAGGGATAGCATTAGGAGAAATACCTAATGTAAACGACAAGTTGATGGTGCAGTAAGCCAGCCTGGCACATGTTTACCTGTGTAACAAACCTGCACGTTGTGCACATGTACCCCAGAACTTAAAGTATAATAACAATAAAAATTAAAATCTTCTGTATGGTGAAAAATAGCACTAATAAAGTAAAATGAAAAGTTACAGACTGGGAGAAAGTATTTGCCACATACGTAATGAAGCATTATTACCTGTAATATATTAAGAAGTTCCTATAAACCAATGCAAAAAAAGACTAACAACCCAGTAAAAAATGAGTTAACAAGTAATTCATGAAACAGAAATCCATATGACCAATACGCTTATGAATAGTGCTCAATACTTCATAAGTGTGGTGGAGACTGTGATGGGCTTTCCAGATCCCCTTTGGCAATGTAGGACTTACTGCCCTTTATTGGGATTGTGTAGGCTGAAGAAAACTGCTTTGCCCAAGGCCACGCATCTCTCCCTGGGGGGCCCACATCCCATAACTGTTGATGACATGGAGGCTTAAAGGCCAGCTCCCTTCCCTTCAATTTAGCAAGGCTCTGAGGTTCATCTAGCTCTGTGGGGTTGGCTGAGGCCTTTGTAGAGACTTCATCACAGCTCAACTTCTTTCTTTGCCCAACCTTGCTTTCCTCTCCTTCCTTTCACTGGTGTTAATACCAAGAGCTCTCCCTAAAAATGTCCTGCACACTACTCTGTCTTCGAGTTGGCTTCCTGGGTAACCCAAACTGCAACTATTAGAACTAAGGAAATGAAAATTGTAACCAGTCAACGTTTTCCCCATACCCATCAGCATTTAGCACAACTTTAAAAGAATGAAAACACACAGTGTGGATGGGAGTGGGGAAATACACTCTCTTAATTATTGTTGGTAAAAGTGTAAACTGGTAGAACCTTTTTGGTATACAATTTAGAAGTATCTTTAAACAATAAAACTAAGCATATCCTTTGACCCAGCAATCACACTTCAAGAATTATCCAAAAGAAATAAGGAAGTTAATTACAGCCTGTTTGTAAAGAGAGGAAAAAACAAGTCAATAAGTAGTACATCCCTACTACAGAATACAAGGTAGTAAGTAAAATAAATTGTTAAGATGTGCATTTTAGGCTGTGTGCAGTGGCTCATGCCTGTAATCCTAGCACTTTGGCAGGCTGAGGCGGGTGGATCACATGAGGTCAGGAGTTTGAGACCAGCCTGGCTAACATGGCAAAACCCTGTCTCTACTAAAAATACAAAAATTAGCTGCGCATGGTGGCATGTGACTGTAGTCCCAGATACTCTGGAGGCTGAGTCAGGAGAATCACTTGAACCTGGGAGATGGAGGCCTCAGTGAGCCGAGACTGCACCACTGTCTTAAAAAAAAAAAATGCATTTTGAAAGTAAGTTTTAAAACCACTTTGATAACCACTTAGGTAAAAATAACCTCCCACCCATTTATATATGTAACTGTATATAGCACAAGCCCCAAGAGGATTCTCAACATATGATTCAAGTAATTACCTAAGAAGAGGAGGAGAATGATGGGGCAGAGGTTGAAGGCAGACTTTCATATTTAATCTCTGTACTTCTGTCTAGAAAGCCTATAATAATTGTATTACTTGTGTAATTAAAAACAGCAGTTAAAAGAAAAAAGAAACAAACCAGGTGTTTTGACTCTTCTTTCCCATGTTTCATAGCTTTTTCCTCCTATTTGATCCTGAAGTTGTGGTTTGCATGAGTCCGGTGGCCTAGCAGAGCCCCCTGCCGGACCCCCATGAGAACTAACAAAAGATTGGACATTGTTAGGGAGAGCTGTTGCTATTAACACCTGTGAAAGGAAGAGGAAGGAAGCAGGGTTGGGCAGAGGGTGATGAGCTGTGATGCAATCTCAGCAAAGGCTCAGCCAACCCCACAGGGAACAGCGGGGCTGGAGCTTATTTGGTAATTCTCTTTTGGCGTTATTTGAAGTGGTGGCTCTTTATATTAATTAAAGAGCCTCAAAATTGTGAAGAAGTGATCTTACAGCATATGTGAAAGCTGGAGGTTCAAAACCTGAGGGCTACAAAATCAAGGGCAGGAAATGACGTTTGGGTTAAGGTTTGGGTTTCCAGTGGAGGAGGCTGGGACTGTCTGAGGGGACCACCTGGGAGCACGTCCACTTGCCTGGATTGAATGGCCTGGCTTAAGTCCTACCTGACCCATGATCCCGCCGAGCTCCCCCTGCAACATCTTCACTTGGTATTCTAGTAACTCGATGTTGCTCAGGGAAGACTGGTATTTATCCCTGTAGAGGCTTAAGCTCCTCTCTAGGGAGGCGATCTTGTCCCCGGCCAAGGCGAGTTGCTCCTGTGCCAAATGGAGCTTCTCCCCTGTGTTCTCGTTGTGATTTCCCATTTCCTCCTCATAGAGAATCACCTGTAGGTATAGGAATAAATCCACATTGAGCCCATGGAAGCATGTAATGAGGAAGGGATGCAGTTGTAAGACTCCCTGCAGAGAAGTCTTGTATCTAAACCAGAAGACCAGATGAACAGAAGAGAGGCTGCACAGATCTAAAAGCTACAGTATGTAATGTCAAGATGTTAATGATTGGAAATAAAAAAAGATGGCCTAGGCCGGGCGCGGTGGCTCAAGCCTGTAATCCCAGCACTTTGGGAGGCCGAGACGGGCGGATCACGAGGTCAGGACATCGAGACCATCCTGGCTAACACGGTGAAACCCCGTCTCTACTAAAAAATACAAAAAACTAGCCGGGCGAGGTGGCGGGTGCCTGTAGTCCCAGCTACTCGGGAGGCTGAGGCAGGAGAATGGCGTAAATCCGCGAGGCGGAGCTTGCAGTGAGCTGAGATCCAGCCACTGCACTCCAGCCCTGACGACAGAGCCAGACTCCGTCTCAAAAAAAAAAAAAAAAAAAAAGAAAGATGGCCTAGTTAGAGGTAAGCTCCTTTAAGGCAGGGACCATATCCATTTCCTATTCTGCCCAGCATGTGGTAGGAGCTCAGTAAATACTTGCTAGTTGACTAAGAGGAATGAATTTTTATAGCTCTGTTTTTTTTAAGGGCTTGAAATGCTGGTAGTTTTTCCTTTCCAGGCATTCTCTAGAAGTTGAACTTAGAAAATGTAGACCTTCTCCTGCACACAGGGCGATGTCCACAAAGTTCCCAAGAGATAGGTGGGGAACATGATCCAAAGTTCCTCTGGGATTTGCACAATCCTTATTTAGATTTATTTTCTTCCTCATCAAGTAATTAGTCAACCAACGGACAGATATTTATTGAAAGCTCATGAGCATTGTGTTAAGGGCAGAGGGGATATATACATACTAGACATATGCTCACCCCTCAAAGAGTTTAAAACTTTCACAATCTTGGGGAGATATGAGTTAAAATGAATAAACAGCTGTAGGTAGTTGAGTGTGCTAAATCGTATGACTCGAATCTGATGTGTTGAAGGAGTTAACAGCAGAAGAGTCATCAAGGATGACTTTATATTAGTTTAAATAATCCAATGCAGAATGCTGATAGAACATGTTCCATTAGTTGAAGCTCATTATACTTGCTGCCTGTCATTTGAGATTCTTCTCAGGAAAGGATAACTTTGTGTAAGGTATCTACTATGTAAGGAGAAGAAGAGAGGAATATTTTATATCCAAATATTTGTAACCGAAGCTATCAGTGGCCAGCCTATATCCCCTAGGCACTTGCTATTTCTTTGCAAGCTAACCCCATTCCCACTGCAAGCATATTCAACTCTGCCTGAGGGCTTCTCTGATACCAGAAGCCCATTCAACCAGAGAGGGAAGACAGCGTAGGTTAGAAGCGCTGGGGAGTTAACACCCTCAGGAGCAGCCCTCAACCAGTGACTGGGGTGTGTTGGGTTCACTCTGAGGCATGTCCTACACTATCTGCCAGAGTTCCCCAGAGGGACCAAGCAAGCAGTCTGTTCAATACCAATGTTCTTTATGGGCTTCCGGTCCTTCTTTGACTCACTTGCTCGTGTGCTTGCAAGAATCAACTCCGGAATTAGTTACTTGTATTTATATCCTTGTTTTAGGGTCTGCTGTTGAGTGAACCCAACCTTAGACAGAAGTTTGATGAGGCTGTGCAACAAGACATTGGGGGAACTTGGCAGAATGTCTAAAATCATTTTCTCAGTGCTTTCTCGGTTTGGGATCTTTGACAGTGACTGTTGTTTGCTGAGTCCCATATCTATTCTCCCGCTCTTCCTTAGTAATTGAGCCTTGACTCTACTGGGGGCAGCAACGCACCTCCTAAAACACCACATTTCCTAGGCTTCCTAGAAAGTAGCTGTTGCCGCGTGACTAATTCTGGCCAGTGATATTTAAGTGAAGGTGTTGTGGTTTCCGGAAAGTGTCCTTACAAGGAGGGGAGTGTGCCTTTCCTTTCCACCCTTGTCACCTGGTCCCCTGCCCATTTATCTGGATTATTTGGAACAAGGATGTGGCCGAGTATGGTGGCTCATGCCTGTAATCCCAGCACTTTGGGAGGCCAAGATGGGTGGATCACCCGAGGTCAAGAGTTCAAGACCAGCCTGGCCAACATGGTGAAACCCCATCTTTACTAAAAATACAAAAATTAGCCCGGCGTGGTGGCACGTGCCTGTAATCCCAGCTACTCAGGAGGCTGAGGCAGGAGAGTCACTTGAACTCGGGAGGCAGAGGTTGCAGTGAGCCGAGATTGGGCCAATGCACCTCAGCCTGGGCGACAGAGTGAGACTTTGTCTCAAAAAAAAAAAAAAAAGGATGTGACGGTTGGAGCTCCAGGAGGCACCTCAGGTGACTTAGAGAATGGAAGCCCTGAGCTGATGATGATGGAACCCAAGGATAGACCCTTAGACCTGATGACACATGCAGTTGCCATAACAGCAACAGACCACCTGTCTCTGACCTTTTTAACTATGACACAGAAGTAAACTAGCTTATTCATTTTCTGTTATATGCTGCTAAATAGAATCCTAACTCATTCAGGGTCGCTTGATCCAGGCTGGACCCTTTTCTTTAAGTTGTACTGAACCAGTAAGTTTTAACACAGCCTTGCACTGTCTTTTTAAAACTATGTGTGTATGCACAGGCTTAGTCACAGATTATATTTGTAGGGTTAGAATAACCTTTCTCTGTTCCTCCCACTCTCAATTCTTTTCAGCAAATTTTCACTAGGTGACAATATTCCCTTTTAAAAAAGTTTATGGTCTTTAAGGTTGCTCCTAAAGTCTTTAAAGTTAGTCCTTAAGCAAGAGCACCATCCAAAACACTCTTTGAATTTTTTTTTCTTCTCTGTCCTTCAAATAGAACCTAACTCCTTGAAATTTTATCTTTAAATCTAAAGAAAGAAAATGCCAGGGGAAACCCCAGGATGGAAGAGTATGTCTGTCCCATCACTTAGAACCCATGGTTTACTGCAGCTAGTGCTATCACTGCTCAAGTGGTTTTAGTGCTGCAGCTTTGGGTCCTTGGAATTTACCTGGGATTCTGCAGGGATGCTACTCTTTGGCTTAGAAAATACCACCCTGGAACATGAATGGGAATTAATGCCCTGAATATACTTAAGTGAAGTCTATATGATCTAAAACTCCAGTCTGAAAAAATTATCTGGTACTCTCAATGATTGACTCCCAGTCAACGTCAACGTCTGGTTATCTTATCTAGTGTGCAGGTGCCAGGAATTTATATATTATCAAGACCTTATTTTTCTAAAAATGGTGGATTTAATGGACCTTATACCTCTTTTATAACCCTCAGAGACCCACAGTCTTTTGCATTTAAATTGCAATGGTAATAGAATGGAGAAGATGGGCTTATACACACACACACACACACACATACACACACACATGCCTGCACACACATTCCACATATTCCACATGTATGAATACTGGAGATCTCACCCAGTTACACCATTCAGTTTAGTTTCCTTCTGCTCAGCTTCAAAAAGATCAAGAATTAAAGGGGAAAGTTTATAAAACCTGCTTGAGATGTTGCAAAGCTCTCCTAAGTCCAACATCTGCTTTCTAGTGGGCTTGGTCTGATTTCTGCAGGTAGCTAAGAATGTGGGGTATTTCCATGGTTAATCTTTCTATACCTCATCTTCTTTCAGTTTGCAGTGATGGTGCAGAAGAACCAGGTCAGAAGTCTGCTTTTCTAGGATGGACTGATACTGGCGGAGAGAACAGTAAGAAGTCTGCAACTCCTCTGTGCGAAACTCCAGTTCTTGTTGAAGGGCCAGCAATTTTTTCTTCAGTTGCTGGAGTTGCCTCAGATGACACTGTTTACTGGACCCAAATTCCATCTCTGACTCCTCGAATGCTAATGCCTGTGCTTGCTTCTTGTTCTACAATAGAGACAGGATATACACAAAAGGCTTTAAAAGGTCATCACTCAGGATGTATATTCATTCCAGGATTGTTTTCATTTGTTCAGTCATTCACATCCATCTATCCATCTTTTTATCTCTTCATCTACAGAGAACTTATTAAACATTTCACTCTATTCACAAGGAAACGTATCACTTAGTATTCCCACTCAGTAAGACGAATTCAATAGAAGAAAAAAAATGGTTCCTATCCACCAAAATCTTATTATTTAGGTCAGAAGAAAAAAATATACACATAAAGGACCTAGAGAGATATGTGTAATAATATGCTCAGGTGTTGCCTTCCCATATAAAGATAACACTAGTGACTTGGAAGGAAATGGATTTCTGGCCATGGTTCTTGGACTAAACTTGGTATTAAAAACACCTGGGTAAAGGAGCATTGCAATGAGTCAATGGTGAGTTCTTGGGGATTTTGAAATGCTGAAAAATGAGAGCCAGAGATATTGTTCAGGTACATCTGGGCACTGACTCTGTCTCCTTCTCCTGAAGGAAGATGTGACCTTGTAGATGCTGACTCTGTGTGTGTGTGTGTGTGTGTGTGTGTGTGTGTGTGTGATCTCTTCTTGCTAATCCACAATCTACCTGAAATGCTGCTAGTCTTATCCTACATTTTCATTCATTCATTCTTCATTCATTCATTCACTCAATAGACACAGGCTAAGCACCTATGTTGTATCAGGTATTCTGCTGGTAGGACACATCCCTGTGTTGCTGATGCTTCTATATTTCCTATACTTTCCAGCATCCCTTATGACAATGACATGTGAGGAAAAGGTGGATAAAGAGGGTAGCCTGTGGGCAGTCCTTAGCATCCAACCCTGCTTATTCTCCTCCTACTCATTCTTTAAGATTCTGTTTAAATCCTGCTCTCCTTCCTGTTTTTTCCCTGCAAAGTTGTCTTTGCACCAGTACCACAGACTTTGCTAGCATGTCCTTAATGTGGTATTCTGTATTCTGTCTGTAATTATTTCTGTGCATTTTAACTTCTAATTAGATTATAAACTCCTGGAGGGCAGGGCCATGTCCGCTCTTATAGGGCCTAGATTATAGATTCATACATACCTATGTATTGAACGAAAGAAATGAAAATAGAGTCCAAGCAATCTCATTGGCTTCCAAGTGTTTGAGCCTGTGGCGTTGGCCTCATTAACAGAGTACTTCTAATACAGTGGCTTTCCAATTTTTAAATTAACTTTTTGAAAACAGATTTATTGAGGTATACTTTGCATATCATGAAATGCAACCATTGTTAAGTGTGCAATTCAATGACTTGTAATAAACTTATAGAATTGTGTGACCATCATTACAATCCAGTTTTAGAACATTTCTATCAACCCCCCAAATTTCCTCATGCCCATTTTCAGTCACTCCTGCTCCTTCCTCCAGCTCCAGGCAACCACAAATCTGCTTTCTGCCTCTATGGATTTTCCGCCTTTTCTAGATGTTTCACACATGGAATTGTATAATATGTCATTTTTTGGCTTCTTTAATTTAGCATATATATATATTTTTTATTTTTTATTTTGAGACAGAGTCTCTGTCACCTGGGCTGGAGTGTAGTGGTGTGATCTTGGCTTGCTGCAACCTCCACCTCCCTGGTTCAAGCGATTCTCATGCCTCAGTCTCCCGAGTAGCTGGAATTACAGGCATGCACCACCACACCCAGCTAATTTTTGTATTTTTAGTAGAGATGGGGTTTTGCCATGCTGGCCAGGATGGTCTCAAACTCCTAAGCTCATGTGATCTGCCCGCCTTGACCTCCCAAAGTGCTGGGATTACAGGTGTGAGTCACTGTGCCTGGCTGCGTAATATTTTTGAGGTTTGTCCACGTTGCAGCAAGAATCAGTATTTGAGGCCGGGTGTGGTGGCTCATGCCTGTAATCCCAGCACTTTGGGAGGCCGAGGCAGGTGGATCACGAGGTCAGGAGATTGAGAACATCCTGGCTAACACAGTGAAACCCCGTCCCTGCTAAAAATACAAAAAAAATTAGCCGGGCGTGGTGGCAGGCGCCTGTAGTTCCAGCTACTCAGGAGGCTGAGGCAGGAGAATGGCGTGAACCCGGGAGGCAGAGCTTGCAGTGAGCTGAGATCACGCCACTGCACTCCAGCCTGGGTGACAGAGTGAGACTCTGTCTCATTTGGTTTATCTGTTCATCAGTTGATGGATATTTGGGTTATTTAAGTTTTTGGCAATTATGAATACTGCTGCTATGAACATTAACCATACTAGCCTTTGTGTGAGTATGATATTTTCATTTAATTAATGTGCTCAGCAAATAATGTGGTACACCTACTATATCAAGAACTACACTAGGTAATGGGGATATAGCATTATATAAAACAGGCAAATCCCAACTTTGTGGAGTTTGCAGCTAATATGGGGAGAGAGAAAACTAAGCAAGTATATATGTAGTGTATTAGAAGGACAAAACGCAGTAGGGAAGAGTGAAACGGGAGGAGGATGAGGAATGCCAGGATGGAGGAGGTTATATTTTTGAATTAAATGTTTGCATGGAGGACCAAATTGAGAAGCTACATTTAACCCAAAACTTGAAGGAGGCAAAAGAAGGCATCTGGAATGCTCTAGGGAGAGATGGCCCTGGAGGTGGACGCATGCCTGGTGATATTTGAGGAGCCCCAGGGGTTGCAGCCACTTTTTTTTCTGGCTGGAGCAGAGACAGTAAGGGGGAAAGTTGTACCTGATGGAGTGAGATAGGAAAAGAAGGTGAGGTCTTTAGGACTGTATAGCCATTCTCGAGACTTTGCCTTCTTTCAGGGAGATGAAAGACCTTTGGAGGGTACTGAGCAGAGGAGCAGCATGATCTCCCTGAGCTTTTATGAAGGACACAATGGCTGTTTATCGGAAATCAACTCTAGGCAGACAAAGACAGAAGCAGAAAGACCAGGTACGAGGCTACTGCAATAATCCAGGCAAAGGATGACGGCGTGGACCAAGACAGTAGCAATGGAGGGTGGGAGAAGTGGTTGGGTTCTAGATGTATCTTGAAATGACAGGACACAGGAGTTGCTGCTGGGTTACAGGTTGGATGATGGGACATGATGGTCATCCATAACAGATGATGCCAGGGTTTTGGTCTGAGTAACTGGGGAGATGGAATTTTAATGAGATTAATTCAGTAAGAGCTGGAACTGAAAGACAAAAAATCTCTACTGAGAGTGGTGGTGGCAGCACAGAGAAGGTAAAGGAGGCTCAACCCAGTCCAGAACCAGAAAGATGATAGCTGATTGTGTCAGTACAATCCGAATGATGCTTTCCAAGCTCTAGTGGAAGTGTCTCATCCTGAGTGCCTCAGAATTAAGAAGACAGACAGAGAAAATGGACCCACTGTGGTCACCAGGCAAAAGAAATCCTAGGCAAAGACACGCTGAATGCTTGGCCTGAATCCAGTGTATGTGACTAGGGGAAAGTTGATGAGACCTCTTTTCTAAGCTGAACAAAGCTAAATTTTGTATTTACTTTGTGTAGCTATAATTGCCAGCATTTATATTAAATGTTGTTGTTTAGGGCTTTCATTCTTTTCAAGATAAGAACACTGCTAGTCTCACAACTCATCTGTGAATGAGGTGTGGAGAGAAGAGAGTTGGGAGTAGCATGTGTGGTGTGCTCATCTCTGTGTGTACGTGCACATGCATGGATACAGGGGCTTCTGAAGAGCCTGAGTCCTCCTGCTTATATAGTAAGTTAACAGGGTGGGGAGCTACCTGGAAAAAACATGATCACAAATAAGTACTTAACATGGACAGAATTAATGCAAAGGAGTGAACATCTGGGGTAAGGTTAATTCAGAAGGGCTTATTTTAGTATATATCCAATAAAATTCTTATCAGGCCAGGCATGGTGGCTCACCCCTATAATCCCAGCACTTTGGGAGGCCAAAGTGGGTGGATGGCTTGAGATGAGGAGTTCAAGATCAGCCTGGGCAACATAGCGAGACCCCTATTACTACAAAAAATAAAAAAAAAAAAAATTAGCCATGCATGTTGGCACGTGCCTGTAGTCCCAGCTACTTGAGAGGCTGAGGCGAATCACTTGAGCTCTGGAGTTCAAGGCTTCAGTGAGCTACGATCACACCACTGCACTCCAGCCTGGGCAACAGAGCAAGATACTGTCTCCAAAAAAATCTTTATCAGATTTTGCCAAAATCCTTTTTATTTTGCTTTTTATTAAGCATCTGTCCACTGCTGAGTGTGTATAACCCTGCTGAAAACTAACCGTGGTCTCCCGTTGTATATTCATTCTTTGCTTCTCTTTCCTTCCATGTCCCTATTTTTTCTTCACTGCCCAGAAGAATGAGAGAAACGCTCTTCTTTTAAAAGAAGTCAAACTCTCTCTCTCTTTAGGGCTTCCCCTCCCGTACCTGGTACACCCATCTATACTTAGGTGTGTTTAGAATTGCTCTCTGGCCTTAAAGCTTCCTGTGGGAAATAAACATCTTTCCTAAATGTTGTGTATAAAGCTTAGCAGTCTGGTATGGATACTGGTGAGATGTCAATGCTTTATTTTCCCCAGAGGTCATCTTGAATCTTCTGGGTTTAATTTTGGTCTGAGGCAACATGATGGGCTAGCCAGATGATAAAAGTTCATGCAACTCTTCCAGTACAGGACAAATATAGCACCCAACCTAATTTGCCTGGTTATAAAGATCCAAGGACTGCTTCTATCTGCAGAGAAACTAGAGTTCTTTGGATAGGAATTTTAAACATTTGCACACTATAGATATCAATGGGTTTAGAGGAATCAAATTTCAAAGACTTGGAGAAATGCCTAGACTTATTTGAGACCTATTAAATTTCTACTTATTTATCCTTATGCATTCAAAAGTTTATTTTTCTAAATTCTAAAGGAACAGAAAATGACACACTATGGATTAAGCCTACACTTCACTTACAAATGTGCTGAAGAGCAGTGTCACAAAGGCACCAACTTATTTCCTATTGCTTCTTTGTCTTTTTTTTTTTTAAACATTCTTTCTAATGAAGATGCAGATATTTTATTAGAGTCTTCTTTGACGTTTAAACTGAGATCTGAAGAAAATAAGCATGTTGAAAGACTAGTTCTTACAGAGGTGAGACTAGTTCTTAAAATGACCATCTGGAATGAGATGTGATTCTGGAGGCCATCTGGTCTACCAGGTTTCTCAGCTGGATTTCTATCCAGGTCTCAGCTGCTTGAAAAGATGGGGACTGCTGGCTGTCCATAGGAACCTGTTCCCATATTTAGTCAACCTTTCAGCCCTACTTGTGGTCAAAGAGATTATAGCTATTGCTCCTTCCTTGCCTATGTGGCCACTTGATCACAGAAGGAAATTAATTGGCCTGGCATGATTTGCCTTTTGAAAAGTCACGTTGGTTTCCACCCAATACTTTGTGCTTTTCAAGTTGATGCTAATTGATTGATGTTAAGTTCTGTATTTTCCTTGTACTGAAGTTAAGCTGACAGGTCTATAATTACCAGGATTGTCCTTTTTCCCTTTTTAAAAAGATGAGCACTTCATTTACCCTTTTTCAGTCTACAGGGACTTTCTTTATCCTTTTGAGTTCTCAAAAATAATCACTAGCAGCTATGTAATAACACCTGCCAATTCCTTAAGTACTCTTCGAAGTATGTCATCAGGCCCTGCTGATTTGCCTAAAGCTGGCTTTTCAAAATACTTTTTAACCATTTTGTTCCCTGTTCTAGTTTGCGCTGACTAGGTTGGCATTGTTCTGATAACCAAATCCCTAATGATTTTTTTTTTTCATTTAAGAATGAAAAAGTCTCACTATCTTTTTTTAATGGAGATTTTTTCTTTATTGAGAAACTTAAGACTTGGATACATCAAACTGAATTAATTTCCTGGGGAGGAGACCAAAATCCACAATAGAAAAAAGAAGTTAACACTGTCTGGGCCACAGCAGAACCAGAGAATACATTTGTATAGCTGAAAAATTCTAAGTGCTTCATATTTGACCTTTTGATACAGCATGATCTATTAAATTTGTGATAGGTATTCTTGGTGTTGAGGTCCATAGAACAATATAGGAAGTCTGCAAACTTTCAGCTGAATTGTATGAGAGATTATTTGGCTTTTGAATCAGTTTCTCCTTGTTCATGAGGTAGCAGCAGCAACCATTAGCACAGATGAGGACTAACTTACTTTTTCAGTCATTGTCATGAACTTCTTTTCCTAACTTTGAGGTAAGTGAGATATTTCCTTTAAACTCTAGTTTAGCCTTATGTCACTGGATAGGTTTATCTGCTGTTTTTTTTTTTTTTTTTTTTTTTTTGAGATGGAGTCTCACTCTGTTGCTGAGGCTGGAGTGAAGTGGCATGCTCTCAGCTCACTGCAACCTCTGTGCCCCGGATTCAAGCGATTCTCCTGCCTCAGCCTCCCGAGTGGCTGGGACTATAGGCGCCTGCTACCATTCCTGGCTAAGTTTTGCATTTTTAGTAGAGATGGGGTTTCGCCATGTTGGCCAGGCTGGTCTCGAACTCCTGACCTCAGGTGATCCACCCGCCTCAGCCTCCCAAAGTGCTGGGATTACAGGCGTGAGCCACCGCGCCCCGACTTATCTGTTACTTTTTATGTCTTCTACAAATTGCATTTCTTGTACTTCCTTGTACTAGTAGAGCAGAGAACTGTATGTTTAAGTGACATGAATTTTGGATGCATCTTTCTGATGTAGACATTCTTCTCACTAGTGACTTCTGCTTGCCTGAGATTCACTTGAAAAAAAGTATTTTAGAATAATTTTTGATTTACAGAAAAATTGCAAAAGTAGCCCAGAGAGTTCCCATATGTTCTTCATACAGCTTTCCCTAAGGCAAACTTCTTAAATAACTGGGTACATTTGTCTAAACTAAGAAATTAATGTTGGAAGATTACTGTGAACTATACTTTATTGGATTTCATCAGTTTTTCCACTAATGTGTTTTCTCTGTTCCAATATCCAATCCAGAATTTCACATTGCATTTAGAAGATTCAGTGAAATATTTTTTTTCCATTCCCAATGATTCAAAATGATACTGTGTAATAATGCCCATCAAGATTCTACTAACTTTACATCTTCAACAAATGACTTTTATCCACAGGAATCAAACTCGCCTTATATAGTTTTATGCTAAAAATAGTGTCCTCTGTACATTTCAAAGATGAGTTTGGCAATCTGAGCTCTACTGAATATCAGGGCATGCACCCTATGCCACCATCAGAGAATGGAGCCTGGGAAAATTGCTCAAAAGGCCCTTTCTTTTCTGGTTTGATCATTTTATTATGATATCTCTGTTGTTCTTTTCTCCTTTCACTTTAATTGAGATTCTCTTTTGATTCCTGGGCAGGCCCAGGAACACGGTGAGGCAAGTGAGATGCAAATTTTAAGGAGGCACTCAGTCTCAGGGTGGAACACATGCAGGTTGGCACCTGAAGAGCTTGTGCCCATGAATTTTGCACCTTAGCCACCCCATTTGCTTCGCCCTATTTCCTGCTCTGTTCCTGGGATTGGGAGCATAATGTAGTTTTGATTTGCAAGGTCATATCACTCACCCCTTCCCTGCCACTCCTTTTGTTATACATAACATCTAATGTAATATTTTAATCTTTTTGCATAATTGTAGTCGTAAACTCTGACCTCCTGCTTGTTTCCCCAGCTCCTTGTTAGAGAGTAGTCAGAATTTCAGAAAGTCTTGGTTTCCCTTTTGTTCCCATATTACATTTCCATGTGGAAGGCAGATCTTAAAGGGATTTTCTGGGCGGATGAGTGTAAGTCTACATCTAATTGTGTATTTGTATGCGTAGTCTGCTATTTAAATTCTGCACTAAGTGCTAGGGGAAAAAAGAGCCCGCTTTAAAGCTTGTTTCAAGCTGTTAGACCTTCTTCTGGGCAATTAGAATAATAAAATGCAATTTAATACCTTTCTCCTTCCAAGTTGCCAGGTACATTTATAAGCCAGATGGCTTTTCCTCACTGGGGGAATAAGTAAACTCATGACAGCAATGGTGAAAATATCCTAAAATGTTAATATTTAGAAAGAAGTAAATTATGATAATCTTCTTCCTGAGATCCATTTAGGAAACCAGTGGATTTTTCTCTATTTGTAACTTCCTGAGGAAAGCAATGCTTAGAAGATGAAGTAGAAATGCTTTGTTGGTAGTATTTCTAGGGCATTGCAGAGGAACAATTTGTGGTTTCAATAGTGAGGCGGTAAGTCCTGGGAGAACTCTTATAGACGCAATGAAAAGAGGCCAGATCCTTGACCACCAACAGTGAAGAACACGGTGGCGGCTTCACAGCCTCCCAGAGGCTAACTTTGGGTGTCCAGCAACAGGTCTGTGCAGCCAGGACCTGCTTTCTGTTTACCAATAACTCAAGTCACTAAATGGAAATGAAGACCACAAGTAAAGAATTCTTGGAAACCCAGTGTTTAGAGAGCTGTGGGAAAATATCTCCCAGCTGGCTCCCCAGCTTGTGTGGATAAATTTAGAGACTGACTTAAAGGCCTTAGATTTAGAGCTTCCAAAGAAAGCAAACCTCAGGCTGAAATGAAATTACCTCAGCTGATGAACAGCCTAGACTCTAGATAAATATTAGTCCAAAATCACAGTCTCAAGAAAGATGCTCATGCCAGGAGGTCTGCATGTTCACACATGCGGAGGATCAGTGCTACTGAGTGTCTTGGCTTGGGCACCCCTGAAAGCAGGCTCTGTGACAAGGAACTGAGGGTCAAGTAGTAGTTGCTGTGGGAGGTGGTCTTAGTAAACTCTGGCTGGGGAGTGGGAAACTGAAGGAAGGGAAGGAAGCAGATAAAAGGTGTGTCCACTCATTGATTGATGGGCATTTGGCTGGTTCCATATTTTTGCATGTGGTATATATATACAATGGAATACGACTCAGCCATAAAAAGAAATGAATTAATGGCATTTGCAGCGACCTGGATGGAATTGGAGACTATTATTCTAAGTGAAGTAACTCAGGAATGGGAAACCAAACATCATATGTTCTCACTTATAAGTGGGAGCTAAGCTATGAGGATGCAAAAGCATAAGAGTGAAACAATGAACTTTGGGGACTCTGGGGAAAGGTTGGGGGTGGTGAGGGATAAAAGACTACAAATTGGATTCAGTGTATACTGCTTGGGTGATAGGTGCACCAAAATCTCACAAATCACCGCTAAAGAACTTACTCATGTAACAACAACAACAACAACAACAACATTGGGTTAAAAAAAAAAGGTGTGTCATCAAGTCAGGTACCACTGTGAGCAACTGGGCTCAGGTGCATTGAGGAAGTCTGTGAGACAGCATGCCTCGGGTTACCTCTGACGAGGGACAAAGGAAGGTGGGAGATGGAATCTACCACCTCCTCATCTGACATTGCTTGAAGGTTGCTTCTAGAGGCGTTAACTCTTGAGAAACTGAGCTTGTCCTATTATCAGTTTCCTGCATCCAGAAGAAAAGCTTACAGGCAGTAAGACACAGGTGCAGCAATAAAGATCCTCTGCTACCCCGATGCACATTGATATCTTGGAGCAGGTGCGATGGTTTTTATTTTCATGGTTGACTTAGAAGTTTGTCTGAGATCCATAGCAGATGCTGCTCCCCTTGTATCACTATGATCTGATATTTTCAGGGCAATGGGTTGTAAACACAGGTGTGAAAGGCCCGATAAGGAAAACATTGTGCCTAGGATGTACATGACCTTGGAGATAGATGGAAAAATCCTGAAGGCAGGAAAGGCATTTTCCGTGTGTGTGTGTGTGTGTTGGGGTGTGCATGTTTAATTCTCTTAATTCTCTCTCATTGCTTGTTCAATAAGTACTCTTGAATGAACAGTGGAAGAACTTTCTATTATCCCCGCCCAAGGGAAGAGAGGTAGAAGTTGAGGGAGCAGGGGTGAGCGGCCGCTGCCAAGTCCCTTACGTGGCTGCTGTTCATTGCCTCCTCCATGCAGAGCTGATTGTCCTGCAAGGTCTTCCTCTGTCTCTTGCAGACATCGTGCAGATTCTTGATGTCAACTTGCAGGCTTAACAGCTTGCTGTTCAGGTTGCTCACTTCTCTGTCTCTCTCCCCCGCCTAGGCAGCCAGAAAAACAAAAGCATCAATTATAAGCTATCAAGAAAGTGCTTGCTTTCGTTCACTTAACAGGTTGACAGAGACTTGAAATTTGCTGGAAATTTGTCCATCAACCGTTAGCTGTTATTACTCATCCTGTGTAACGTTTACACAGTTTCCAATTGCCAGGTGTCTGAGCGCTCTGCATTATTCAGACAATTACTGATTTATATTAATTAATCTTCACCACACTGCTGAGGGTGCACCACAGACAATTCCCCTGTTTTTCAAGAGGAAGTCAGTGCCTAGAATAATTCTAGGCACCTAGTGGACTGTCTATAAATATTAATGGCTCTGCCACTGATGAACATATTGAGATGTCAAATGAACTTGTCAAGACAAGTATAGTGAATCCATGATGGGCTTGATATGGGATTCTGAAGTCTCTTACCTTTCTCTTCTACCCACTAGACTACCAAAAGATCTCCTTCACCTATAAACCCAGTGCTTTTCTCTTTTTTTTGAGACGGAGTCTCGCTTTGTCACCCAGGCTGGAGTGCAGTGGCACAATCTTTGCTCACTGCAAGCTCCGCCTCCTGGGTTCACACCATTCTCCTGCCTCAGCCTCCTGAGTATCTGTGACTACAGGCACCCGCCACCATTCCCGGCTAATTTTTTTTATATTTTCAGTAGAGACGGGGTTTCACCGTGTTAGCCAGGATGGTCACGATCTCCTGACCTCATGATCTGCCTACCTCGGCCTCCCAAAAGTGCTTTTCTTTAGAGGCATTCACAATGGGAACAAAGTGAGATCCCTGGGCTGGTGGCGTAAGTTCTGTCTTTGATTATGAGTGAAAAGAATTAGCTAATTGTTGCTAGATGGGGATGGAAAGTAGTGATTGAGATATAAATAGAGTGTGTGGGGCATAGTAACTTGGGTGGGGGTGCGGGTGCAGAGCTGTTGTAGGAGGGTGGGGCTTTATCACACCAGGATGCCACCTCCACTCCCAGAGTTGTGGGTGGTAATGGTGTGAAAATGAATGAGGAAGAAGTCCTGTGTGAACCTGTGTTGTGCTTCAGTCTGTCACTGTGCTGGTTTTCTACAACGCTCATGAGCACAGGTGTTACTGCTGCTGAGTTTTAAATCTAGGAACTGAGGCTGGTTCCTTCATGGTAAGTACATGGTTTGGCTCTGTGTCCCCACCCACATCTCATCTCAAATTGTAATCCTCACGTGTTGAGGGAGGGACCTGGTGGGAGGTGATTGGGTCATGGGGGTGGTTTCTCCCACACTGTTCTTATAATAGTGAGTGAGTTCTTACAAGATCTGATAGTTTAAAAGTGTGGCACTTCCCCTCACTGTCTCTCTCCTGCTGCCATGTAAGATGTGCCTTGCTTCCCCTTTGCCTTCCGCTATGATTGTAAGTTTCCTAAGGCCTCCCCAGCTATGTGGACCTGTGAATCAGTTAAACCTCTTTTCCTGATAAATTACTCAGCCTCCAGTAGTTCTTTATAGCAGTGTGAAAATGGACTAATACAGTACCTATCTCTTAGGTTAGATTACCGAGAGGGTTCTTAAGTGAGGATTCATGGCATCTATCAAAGAAACACTCCCAAGAAAAACCAGCATGGAAGAAGGGGAAGGAGGATAGGGAAGGGGTAAAAACCAAGTACAGGTACATTTTCAGAGAATCCTGTGGGCAGTAATTTTAGCCTGCTCATACAGGAAACTCTGGAATATGAGCTACACCTTAGAGTCTGTCCTGATTGGTGTCAGTGAAAGCTGGGCTGTCAAACTCAGCATCAGTCAGTCAGTGGCCAATGGCCATCCCATGGGTTACAAGCAACTAAGAACTTCCAGCTATCTGCCCCTGTAGGCAGTGACTTCAGTAGTCTAAAGACAATTCTTTTTTTTGAGGCGGAGTCTCGCTCTGTCGCCCAGGCTGGAGTGCAGTGGCGCGATCTCGGCTCACTGCAAGCTCCGCCTCCCGGGTTCCCACCATTCTCCTGCCTCAGCCTCCCGAGTAGCTGGGACTACAGGCGCCACCACCACGCCCGGCTAATTTTTTTGTATTTTTAGTGGAGACGGGGTTTCATTGTGTTAGCCAGGATGGTCTCGATCTCCTGACCTCGTGATCCGCCCGTCTCGGCCTCCCAAAGTGCTGGGATTACAGGCTTGAGCCACCGCGCCCGGCCAAGACAATTCTTCTAAGAGAGTTACAGCTGCAAAAGTGCGCAGTAGGCAGGGGATAGGTGCATGGAAATAGTGAAGGGAACTAAGCCACAGTGCCCAAGGTCTCACATCTGGTTAGCAGTAGGGCCAGGAGAGCACGTTCTTCCTGACCCTGTAGCTGGTGCTCTGCCATCATATCCGACTGACTGGTTTGTCTTTTGAAATATATGAGCTGCATAACACACATTCTCAGAGGAACTGGAGACCTGATATGGGCATCGTAAATCAAGCCTTACTGGACAGGTCAGTTTAAAGGACCCCTACACAAAGCCGAAGGGGGCCGGAGGACAACGGCGAGAATCGGACATTGCAATGTCAGAGTATTCGGAATTCAGAAGGTTTCCCAGAACTGCTGCTGTCTCCGCTGATTTATTTCTTCATTTCCATTTAGTACCTGGATTTTTTTTTAACCACTTTACAGTTTAATTAGGTTAACGGCATGGCTCTGTCATTAAAAGGATTTCATTATCTCAAAACTCTCCCTCCTCCTCTCTTGCTCCCATCCTTCGTTCCTCACTTCCAGAAAAATAACAGTGGATGTCAACTGCCCCAAGCATGTAATTACCATTAAGACAATTACCAGGGACTCTCTTAAGAGAATATGTGTAGAGTGGCCTTAAAAAATGGTGTACAGACACTGTTTTCTAACTTGGAAACAAAATGCTTAACTCGATAAAGAGTGGTAGTTTGATTCTGGTGCTTTGGATCCCTTTCCTGTGGTTACCACACTGGGAATAGGGTATGGAGCCTCTCCAGGAAGTGGGACCCTAAGGAACCTCTTCACTCTGGCCACAGGACTGTCTTTCTTTGGCATCTACGAGCAGTTTAGGTGACAACAAGATGCCTGCTCCACAGGAGAGCCAAATACCCTATACTCTTGCCTTGGTGCTGAATATATGTGTCTTAAGGCAGGAACCCTGACAGCATATTGTTCCCCATGGAGACTAGCACACTGAAGGCTCACTAACAAAATACCAATGATACACACTTGAGTTTCTCTAAATTAAAAGTTAAGTGCTCTCTCTCAGGCCAATAAAAATATCCTTTCTCCCTCCAGTTTTGGATGTCCTCTGAGTAGAAGGCCTGATAGCCCAATTCTTTTGCACCACCAGAAGTTCAGAATTGGATCTTCAATGTAGATGATCTCATCTAATTTGTACATCTAATTTGTAGCCAATTTAGCATTGGCTCAGAGTCTCTGAGAAAATGTCTTCATTCATGAAACAAGGTTTGGAATAAATCATCTTTCTTTGAACATTCCTTAAACCAGTTGAATAACAAATACGTTTTGATGGATGTCAAGTGAAATTTACTTTTGAAAGCAAAACTTAACCATTCACTCCTGGAAACCAAATTATAAAGAGGTTTTGATGCATCAGAAAAGGAGTAAAAATGCTGGGAGAGTGATCAGGAGATTTCCAGAACCATGTTCAATTTTTAATTATAGGGAGTTATTAGAAAAGGCTGTGCTCACCTCAGAACCCCAGAAAAGCCAATGTTTCTGGGGTCTCAGTGAACCTAATTTCTTGCCAGTATCTCACACAGATATTAGCTATAAACTATTTATAATCCTATCTACTTTATGAAGGCTAAATCCCAGGCAGATGCCTTTTGAGTATCAACATGCAATAGGGATAGATTTAATCTGACATTTCATCAATCATAGCTCTGTAACCATTACTGGGGCATGAGATGAACCGAGAGTCATAATGTTGACCCTCAGGCACCACATCTGATCCTGTCCTGGATCTGAAGTCATTAACAATGGCTGAAATTACAAGTCTCCACTGCCAGTCTCCGCTGCCAGGTGAGTTTTCATTTACATAAGTCATGTACTTAGTTACCTGGTTTCTCTTATATAAGGTTGGAACCTGGTCACTCTGCTTTGAAACATATGACAGCAGCAGCAGCTATCAACCCACAGGCAAAATGATGAGTGCTGATACTGCAGTGGCTACCATATTCATGATAACTATTGGAAAATAGGTTATTTACTGAAGCAAATTTTCTGTATTGATTAAATAGGTCTTTTGTCAAAAAGCATGGTATCTCAAAAACACATATTTCAAAACAGGTGAAGACATTTTGCTCTAGGTTTCCAAGTATTGACAGTCTCAAGCTTTTTCTTGGGTGAAGCTAATGTTAAATTGAAGCTTGTGATTCAGTAGCATTTTCAGAGCCCAAGAACATTGCAAAGATTCAAAATGGCAGCATTCCCAGGGATTTGGCATTTCAACATGAAAATCCAGAGTAATTTAGGATTCAACCAATAACACGATAAAGGTCATCATCTTTGGGATATTATCTTATTTGTCTGAGGATAAGGACAGATCTTCAATAATCAATGGGAAACCACGTTTAACCACCACTAATATCACAACCATTCAATTTATGGTGAGAGTCATGCCTTAAGAATCACGAAACCTTAAAAACTAACATTGATTCAGGAATTTTTACATTTTACTTGTATAATAGTAGAGTTTACAGTTATCTGCAGTGATTTTAAACACTATTACTGATATTACTGACTTGATTACCAGTTGACTTTTCCATTTATAGAAATATTACAGTTTTTACATTACTTATGATGGAAATGAATGGGTACTTATACAAGGTTTTGCCTGTGAACAAACATTTAGAACCAATTATGTTCATATACTGAAGAGTGACTGTATTTTATGGTGTTCTAAATTCTTTAAAAATTGATGTATACCTATGTAACAAATCTGCACATTCTGCACATGTATCCCAGAACTTAAAGTATAATAAAAAAGATTAAAAAAAGAAAACATTATGAAATGTAAGAAGGCTAAACACACATACACACATACACACACACACACTTAGATTAACAAATTAAAAAAGATATCTGAGAGCTTCCCTTATCAGCTGTGTATTCATTAACAAGTTATTTAACTTCTGTGGCTACATTTTCCTATGTATAAAATAGAGATAATTATAGTTTCCTTAAGGTTGTTGTGATGATTAAATGCATTGGTAAATACAATGTACTTAGAACACTGTCTGACACATATCATGGAAGGCTAGATTAGTGTTTGCCATAAAAACAAAATTGGCACACCCCATAATTATACAGTGTAGGATACACATGACATATGGTGGAGATCAGCCACCTATGGAACGTGGGCTGATTTTTATTGGCACCCGGGCAATTTTCACAGACTTTTCACTATCATATCATTTGAGAAATTATTCTACCAAGAAGGTAAGCTCCACGAGTAGGGATCTTTGTCTATTTTGTTCACTGCTTTATTCCCAGCTCCTAGAACAATGAATGCCTGGCACATTGAAGGAGATCCAAAGATATAAGTTAAATGAAGAAACAGCTTTCTAGAAAATCCATACAGATCCTTGTTCCCCACAGAACTGGTATCAAGTTCTGTATGGCTCCAGTAATGCAGCAGGAAAGGAGTGGACTGACTGTTTCAGAATCTGCTCACCTCTTGGTAGGAGGTCTGTTAAAAAGCATATGGTACATGGGACAATCTTTACTCATCAAAACAGTCCCCTTAAGTCCTTTCTGAAACAAGGTAGGGCATACATAAACAGAGTTTGTTGCTGTTGTTGTTGTTTTTGAGACAGAGTCTTTGTCGCCCCAGCTGGAATGCACTGGTGTGATCACGGCTCACTGCAGCTTCAACCTCCCAGGCTCAAGTGATCCACTTGCCTCAGCCTCCTGAGTGGCTGGGACCAAAAGGGCATGCCACCACACCTGGCTAATCTTTTTTTTTTGTAGAGACAGGGGTCTTACCGTGTTGCCCAGGCTGGTCTTAAACTCTGGGGCTCAAGCAATCCTCCTGCCTTGGTTTCCCAAAGTGCTGGGATTACAGGTTTGAGTCACTGCGCCTGACCCCATAAACACAGTTTGACCAGAAGATTAAACTAGTCAGACACTCCATTTTCATATCATTCCAGATAAAGAGAGAATGTTAGCAACAATAGTTAATGTCAATTAAGTGCTTTCTACATGCACTAACTTTGCTAATCCTCATACCAAGTCTTTAGAATAGGTGATCATCATTCATATTTTCTAGATAAAGCAAAGGAAACTTAAAGTAGGCAAAAAACTCAGTATCATACTGCTGATAGATATGGACCCAGACCCACCCAGCTCGAGTCTGGGCTCTTAAACACGATGCTCTGCTGCCCGCCTCTGTCCATGATATTTTGTGATGCTTATTACTGGAATTTTGAATAATAAAACATGAAAAAAAGTCCCTTGTAATGAATATTCAACTCCACGTATGAAGAGGAGTTAGGAGCCTTACCTCATCTTTCATTTCCTTGGCAGCTCTCAGTTCTCCTTTAACCTTTAGTATTTTCTGAGCTTTGTTATAAACCTGAAAAAGTCCAAGTATTTAAGATGGAAAAAGTATAAATGAGCCTGCCCTTTAAAGATTTTCCCAGCTGGATCTAGGCCCTCAGCAAGAGGTTTGGAAAATTTTCTCGAACTGTTAGCAATACCAACTTGCCTACCCATCTGTTTGTGTTTTCAAAAGTGTGTTAAAACCTCCAGATGGTAGGACCATGGTTTTACATCTTTTCCAGAAAACCACTACTTGGTGAACCAAACGGTTTCTGAATTCACCCTTCTTGGAAAGCAAAAAGTCTGAATCGAGTTTACTTTTTGGATTTCTATGTACTCTATGGCTCAGATATAGTTAACATTATGTACTTACTATGAACCAGACATGATGTGCATGACCCAACTTCATTCTCACATGAACCCTGAGAGGCAGGGACTACTACTATCCTCATTTATAGACAAGGAAACTGAGGCCCAGAGAGGCTAAGTGACTTACCCAAGGTCACAGAGGCTCTCTTACTACTCTATGAGGAGCTTCCATTAATTTTGTAACTATTCATATGAAATATCTGATGATGTGATGTTTTTTAAGCATCAGCTTGTTATAATGTTGATGCTCATAAAGTTAGGAAACGTGTGAAGTGCTGAGACTTATCTAGCTAGAAAGCCTCCAAGGAAACCAAAGGTCTTTGCACATGTATGTGTGTGTGTAAGTACAGGATGATGCATTTGAGGTCATAATGCACTGAGCTTATTAAAATTATCTCATTCATTCTGTTTTTAACCCTAAGAATAGAGGAATTTCCACCAGGAACTTACCTGCAGAATAGCTCAAGGAATAAGAAGCTATTAAAATACTCATCCTTTGTAATAAACCACATCCCCTATCCCTAATATAAGCTAAGAGGAAGAAAGAATGTTGGTGATATGTGGAATCTGGAATGTTTTATGGAGCTGAATTCTCATTTCCTGCATTGTGTACCCTCTGAAGTCTTCATGCACAGAGGTGTGTCGTGGGAATGGAGGTGTGGCTCAGGCTCACCTGGTGGGGACAGGCTAGGTGATGGTGTAGCAACAAACAACCCCCAAGTCTCAGTGGCTTACAACCGTGAAGGTTTATTTTTTACTCTTGCTACATGTCCTTTATGAGTCAGCTGGGGCTCTGCTCCACATCGTCCTCAGTCTCCTCGTAGTCCTCAGCTGGTGGAACTTCTATTATCTAGTATGTTGCCTGTTGCCATGGTAGCAGAAAGGGAACTTGGTGAATCACCTACTGGTTCTTAAAGTGGAAGTGAAACACTTTGCTTCTGCTCACATTTCATTAGCCAAAACAAGTCACATGGCCATGCCTAACTTCTTCCTGTATTTCCCCAAAGAAATATAGGCATATGTCAGAGAGATTGTGGGTTCGGTTTCTGACCACCAAAATGAAGCAAATATCACAATGAGGCAAGACACACAAACGTCTTGGTTTCTCGGCGCATAGAAAACTTATGTTTACACTATATTGTGGTCTACTAAGTGTGCAATAGTATTATGTCTAAGAAAACAAGGTGCATAACTTAATTAAAAATACTTCATTGCTAAAAAATGCTGATGTGGACACAAGGGAGCACATGCTGTTGGAAAAATGGCGCCAATAGACTTGCATGATGCAGGATTGCTACAAACTTTCTATTCGTTAAAAATGCAATATTTGTGAAGCACGGTAAAGTGAAGAGCAATAACACAAGGTATGCCTGTATTGGCGAACATCACAAATGACTTCCACACTAGTCAAGCAAGAAGATTAAAAATAGCATGGCATAAAAGAACACTAAACAGGGTTCTAGGCCACCAAGCTTCTAAACCTGGTTCAGCACCTCACTGGAGGAGTGGCCTTTGGAAAGGCCTTCATATCTCTGCACCTTCATTTCTGCTTCTGTAAACTAGGAAGCTGTAATAAATGGCCTTTAGAAGTCTTTCCTAGCTTTCAAGTTCACTGATTCAGTGCTCTACCATGATGAACATCTTTCTATAGGAGGAACTATGAACTCAGCCCAAGGATCATACAAAAAGTTGTAACGGAACAAATGTATCCTTGAGAATCATACTTCTTTGCAGGCAAGCCCACTGGATAGTCAGGAGATGATTCTGAAATCAAATGAAATCTTGTCCAAAAGACAGAAAACTTATTTTCTAGATTGTGATGGTTTCATCCACTATGGAGTTACACAGCTGTAGTTGCAAGAGCCAAGAGCATTTTGAAGAAAAAGTAGAAGGCATAGGTTCTAATATTTGCATGAAAATATACTGAATTTACTAAGTAAGGTAAGAAGAAAAAAAGAGAGCTGGAGTTTGTTGCATGACGGAGACGTCAGAATCTTGAGTCATTAACAATAGCAGCGGGCAGTTTGGAAGGGCTTATGATGAAAAAACTGGAAGTGTTATATGATAAGTTTTTGATGCATTTGACAGTAATGTTTGCCAGATGGATAGGGAAGAGTGCTTTGGGGGAGCCCCACAGGCTTTACGAAATGCTCATGGGAACCTTCACAGTACTGTCTGACTGAGGAGTGTGGCTGGACAGATACTTTGTGGAGGAAAGGCTCATCCCAGAAGGAGGGACTCTCTACCAGATCCCTAGCTACTGACTCTCTGAAGCCAGGACTTTGCTCATGTCTCTCTCCTCTCAAACCTTTGTTCTTACAAAGACGCCTCTTGCCTCTCTGTTGAGACCTTCATTTCTTCATGCCTTGTCTGCTGCCATCTGCCTCGGGAACTCCTTTCTTGTATTCAAAACTCCTGCCATCTGCTTTTCAAAGTAGGCCTTCTCTTGGTGACAGCTGTGCCTAAAAAAAGTGATTGTAGTGAAAACAAAAACTTGGTCAGAGCTTCTAGTGATGTTTTGTGCCTCCCCTCAGTCCACTCTCAGAGCACCTTGCAGATTCCAAAGAAATACCTAACACCACACCTCAAATGGGTGACTAAGGCAGCAAGCATCAAGTTAGGTGTGCAAAAAGAGAAAATACATATTTCTATTACTCAGTGTTTTTGTTAAGCCCCATTTTCACCAAATGGCAGAAAACATAATCTTAGTTATTTCTGAGAAAGCACCATGACTTTCAGGTTAAAAATGAATCAGTTCATGATTCCCTCACAGTTCATGATTCCCTCAACCTCTTTAAGGCCTCTCCAGAGTCCGCCTAAGATTTTGAGGTCCCAGTTTGGATCCTGGCACCAGGGGAAGCTTCTGGTCCATGGTCATGGGCATCTCTCCCAGCTAGAGTATGCTGAGGTGTCATTGTCCTGGTCAGTAGGCCACATGTATTAATATTAGTCTGTTCTCACATTGCTATATGGAAATACCCAAAACTGGAAAGAAGTTTAATTGACTCACAGTTCTGCATGGCTGGGGAGGCCTCAGGAAACTTACAATCATGGCAGACAGCACTTCTTCACAAGGCGCGGCAGGAGAGAGAATGAGTGCCAGCAGGGGAAATGCCAGACGCTTATAAAACCATCAGATCTCATGAGAACTCATTCACTATCACAAGAACAGCATGGGGGAAAACACCCCATGATTCAGTCACCTCCCACCAGCTCCCTGTCACAACACAAGGGGATTGTGGGATTATAATTCAAGATGACAAAGCCAAACCATATCACCTTATATCCTGTGTCTTCCTCATCCTAAGGGCTTTTGGGTCGCCTGGCCCTTCCTCATCCTTTGAAGATGTTCCTCCCTGTTCCCCATGAAGACACAAACACATGCACACACACACCACACATACATACACACACACCCCATGTGAGTGGTTTCAGACCGTCTTTTAGATCTGTCCTATCAGCATTCTATATTATACCTTGAAAGGTATTGAGAGAAAGGGGACATGATATTCACTTTCCTGGTTTTGATCAAAAGTCCCTCTGCCCTTGAATTACTAAACCTATCTGGGAATCTATTGTTTTCCCTCCCTTCTGCCCCATTTCATAGATGTCACCAGGGTCTAATTCTCCTGCTTACATTCTAATAATCCTATTCCTCCCCTTTCCTAACTCAGAGGGTGTTTGTTTAGTTTTGGAGAGAGGATCGAAAAGGGGTACAAGTGAACAAGTTCTTTGAAGTGCAGTCTGAGCAGGCCAGGATGTGAAACACATCAGTTAGTACTTCACATACCACCTGTCCACATTAGGTTACACAAATGCCATAATCACAGATTGCTAATTTTGACTCCCTCCCCAAGGAACTGGTAACTGCTTGGGTATATGGTTGACTCCTGGCCTTACAGCGACATTGTTGCTCTAAGGAACACGGACTATTCCTTTTCCTTCATGGCCGGGATGGAAGAATATCAATGGTCTGTTTTTCCTAATCTAAAACATGTTCCTGGGTTTTCAAGGAAAGATGTTTTTTTGGTTGAAAATTAAAGCTATCTTTGTGGGATAATACAAACTAACTTAGGCTTACCTATACTAAGCCATAAGTCTTTCCTTTACTTATGCTGGGCTTTAGCTTTTTCTCCAATGTTCTACCTCTTACCAATGAAAAAAGTGTGATGAATCTTACAGCTCTTCATTATTGAAATGATGAGAGGGTGCTCAACATTTTCTGTATTTTTAAAAATATGTGAGCCCCATGAACACACAGGGATGCTTATTGGATACTAAATTATTTCTATCCAGAATGTATGATTGCAGCCAATGTGCAGAGGCTTTTTGGCATGAAGAGAGTTTGCCTTTTGAATCCAAACCCAGTTGTAAAGGAGAAAATCCCTGGTAGTGTAGGGCATAACCGGTAGGGGGAGAAGGTATGAGGAGATGATGTTGGAGATGGTTTTGCCAGGGTTTGGGGTTCTGCAGAGTAACGGTGAATAGGAGCCTGACACCAATGTCACTGACTGAGCCATAGTCCAATTCCAGGACTGAGGTTCTTCTGGAGAGAAAGTAGGGCTAATTGGGTCCCCCCAGAAAGAGGCTTTTGGATGACAGAAGAAATGAGGGGCCAGGAGGAGCAGGAGAAGGAATCCAGGATTTATGAGACGCACTGTCCTAGATGAAAACCTCTCCCCCGGCCGGGCGCGGTGGCTCAAGCCTGTAATCCCAGCACTTTGGGAGGCCGAGGCGGGCGGATCACAAGGTCAGGAGATCGAGACCATCCTGGCTAACACGGTGAAACCTCGTCTCTACTAAGAAATACAAAAAATAGCCGCGCGAGGTGGCAGCGCCTGTAGTCCCAGCTACTCGGGAGGCTGAGGCCGGAGAATGGCGTGAACCCGGGAGGCGGAGCTTGCAGTGAGCTGAGATCCGGCCACTGCACTCCAGCCTGGGCGACAGAGCGAGACTCCGTCTCAAAAAAAAAAAAAAAAAAAAAAAAAAGAAAACCTCTCCCCCTGGCTCTCTCCTTTACTACCTTTCACAGAGGCTGTTTGTTGTCTGTCCCAACATCCATATTCATCCATACTCTTTATTTTCCTTAGTAACAGATGCTCATTTTATTGGGATGCACAGGCACTCATCTAAAAGACTCTATCTCCTAGCCTCTCTTGCAGCTAGGTATGATTATGTGTCTAAGTTTTGGTCAACGAGACATACAAGGAAGTATTGTGGGGACGTCCATGAAATCTTCTTAAAGAGAAGTAGTGCACAGCTGTTTGTTCTTCCCGCCTTTTTAATGGCTTGCAATGCTGATTTAGTGCGTGGTGTTCCAGCAGCCATCTGGAACACGAGGCCCTAATGCTATGAAACCACCATTGTCAGCCCTGGATAGAAAGAGCAATATCTATCTTGCTTAAGTCATAATTTTGTTTTTAATTTTTCTGTTTCATATACCTGAATCTAATGCAAGCTGACACTGACAAAACACCCTTATTTAAGTTACTCTCAGAGATCTCTCTCTACAACTCACTCACCATTTCTAGCACCTCCACAAGTTGCTTTTACTCTACATTTTGGAACCCTTTTTTCGTCGTGGACCAGCTCTTTGGTGATTCCACAGATAGGTTTCTCAAATGCCCCTTCCCTTCCTCGACTTGCCTTGGTTTTCTCTCGAGACATCAGTTCTTTGTTTTCACTTTCTCCTTCTCCACTTGCCGTATGGAGTAGAAAGAGCCAGAGTCAGGGAGAGAGGAACATCTCAGCCCTCCCACTGCCACCACCATTACTCCCATGCCATTTTGGAAAATTTCCCATTTTGAAGTACACAGTCACCTAATCTTTGTTGCCATTATCATTGACTGACATGGAGCAAATTCTCCCATTTGGTTGCTCTTTCTTTCTTTATGAGATATATTCTTTCTGCCTATCAAAAGTCACACATCTTCAAGACCCAACCCAATTGCCATTTCTTTCACCTTCCCTAAACTACATGTCATATTAACTCTTGTATGGCAGCTACTATATGCCAGGCAGTGTTCTGAACATAAAATAACAGAGCTAATCCTCACAGCAGCCTTGCCAGGTGTGTACTCTTCCCCCCTTACAGCCCTTTTCCTATACCTCTTTTAACACAATGATCTGCCTTTATTATGGTTGTTTGTGATTTGCCTTGTCTCTCCCCAAAGGTAGCAGTGATGTATTCTGGTGAAAGAACAGGAACACACAGACCTTTTTGAAATAATTTTAGATTTCCAGAAAAGTTGCAAAAATAGTACAGAGAGTTCCTGTATACCCTTTCCCTAGTTTTCCCAGTATTAACATCTTACATGATGATACAATGATCAAAAACTAAGAAATTAACATGGGTCCAAAAATACGAACAAAACTACGTACTTTGTTAGTATGTCACCAGTTTTTTCACTAATGTCCTTTTTCTGTTCTAGGATCTGATCC